AATATAGTCTCTACATATAAGATAATAGTCAAATAAAAAGAAAATTGATGATGAAAACTACCTGGTTTGCATTCATAAATTTAAATAAAACTTGGTTTATGCCTCTTTCAATCCCTAAGCTTAAAAATTATGAAATAATTTTTCCAAATTTAAAATGTGTGTGTGTCTATATATATATATAAAAGCTAAAAGATATTGTGTCATAAAATAAAATATTTTTTGATAGAATAATAGCCTACATGGGCACGTGAAATGAGCTCCCCTTATTTTTTTTAATCCTTTAACTTATTTTTTTCCAAAAATAATTGTTAAAGTAAAATAATAATAAAATAAAAATATATTTATAAAACAAGATTTGTCATATCTAAGAATATATATTTGTAGATTTAACAATTTGATATTTAAAATACCTTATTTTAAAATATTATTTTTAATTGATTATTATATTAATCTTATGAATTGCTGGAACAATGCAAATGATTCAAAGTCAATAAGAAGATGGCATTGAGTTGTATTAGTGTTTTTTTCATATCATAAAATTTGTTAATCAAGGAATGAAAAGATTACGAAGGAGCTTAGTATAATATATTAGAAAATATATAAATTGATAAATTTTAAAAAGAGTTATGAATACTAATTAAATATTAAAGCTAAATAAAAAAGCTAAAATAGATGCACGTGCAGATATTGTATAGGTATAGGCTAGAAAGATTCATGCTAATTAACAATAATATATGCCCACCAAAATATGGAACATAAGCTAATTTTTATTTAATTTTTAAGAAATTAAAATAAATATTCAAAATAATTTGAAGGATTCAAATTTTAGAGGAAAAAATTATATATTATCTAAATTTATAAATTTTTATTTATGCATTTCTTTTTATGTTTTGAAGAAACATGAGTTTTTTTAATTAATAACATGATTTTTAAACAGTGAACACCAAAATTTCAACTTGTTATAAATAAAAATCAACAATGATAGCCTCATTACCTATCTCAAAATATCCTTTAATCAATCTGAAAATATAAAAAAAAAACAAAAAAAAAAAAACTTAACAGACCAAGATATAAAAAAAAAAAAAATTGTTGAACTCTCTTATCAAAGACAAATCAATTGACACAAAAATTAATTTTTTTCATTGTTGGAATGTAGCGCGTCAAAATGCTTCACTCTCATCTCCTTCTTTAGTGACTTATTCTTTTCTCTCTCAGTATTCAAGGTCTTAAATGCAAGGGAAATAAAGTTTTAGGATTAAAATGTAAAAACCTAAACTATAAGGATTAAAATAGAAAACTTTAGGAATGAAATTCAACCTTTTATAAAAAAAAAATACATGGACCAAAAATAAAAATAAAAAAACAAAAAAAACTAAGGGACCAAATCATTTTTTTAATTAATGGATTAAATTGAAAACAAAATTCAGGATCAAATCACAAACACCTAACTTACAAGGGTAAAAATATTAAAATAAAAACTTAGGGGGTGAAAATAATTTATTGCTAATAAAAGAAGTAATTATGTTCTCACATGATGTTGTGGTCCGATTATCAAAATATATTATTAATTAGTTCTTTTATAATTAAAATGGATATGTTAAAAGAAATATTAATTCTTTTCTTATTCATATTTTTTTGTTGAATAAAACTCTTTTTTATTAGGAGCACATTTTTTGAAAAAAAAATAGAGAAGATTAAAATAAAAGTTTGTTAAAAATTTCAATCATTTTAAATAATTAAAAAAAATGTTTCTTTTCAACCTAAACTCATTTTTTTCTTATTAAGCCATTTCTTTATTGTTTTAGCATATTTTTTGGTTGAAATTAGTGTTTTTTAACCAAACAATTATCATATCACATAAACAAGTTTTAATAAAAAAATATTAAAATAAATGACTTGATATTTTATATGTGATTGAAGGAAAAAAAATAATAAGATAAAATAATGTCAAAATATATTAAAAAAAGAAGAAGATTATTTTCATTGAATTTTCAAGAGCACACTTTAACTTTTTTCATATTAGGTATATAATAATTAGAAAAAATAACATGTACACAAAAACCTATAATATTATTTAAGAATTAAGAAAAAATTAAATAATAATTTAAATATCAGATTAAGTATTTTATTTATACTGTATTTCAATTAAAGTCTAAAAAAAAAAGTTGAAAAACAAAAACTATAAGAATAGGCTAAACACGTGGGCATCAAAGATTGATCCTACGTGCCTAACCCAATAGAAAATAAGCATGGCAGGCAACTGCTCTTTTTATTATTATTATTTTATATTTAAGGGTGGATAATATTTTATCCATTCTTTTATTTTAAAAAAATAAAATCAAACAAACAATGCATCATATGTAAAGGAAAAGGACACCTTGTCTATAAAATGGCAAAATTAAGATGCATTATCAACCGATTTCGATTCCAACCATCAAAGAGGTGGTTGGAAAGTTAAATATTGGGTTTATTTGGATATAAAAACTTTTTTAAAAATTATTTTTTATTTAAAAATAACTAATAAATACTATAAAAATATTAAGTAACATTTTTCCAATCCTATAACACCTTTACATCAAAAATAAAAAATTAAAATAAATAAAAAACAATTTTTTATTAACCTTAATCTATTTTGTTTTAGCAAGATGAAAGTTTAAAAATACCTCAATAACACTTTATTTGTCGAGAGAAATCTATTGATATTAAAATTAATTTTTTTATCATTAAAATATGGTTAACTGACCGCTTTTTTCTTCTTCTTTTTTCAATAATTTTATCTATTTTCTCTTGACAGTTAAGGATTGAAACATGAAAAAAGTTTAGGATTTAAGTATAAAAATCTAAAACTAAAAGGATCAAAGATGTCTAAATGAAGACTATTGGGATAAAAATGATGTTTTTCATGCAAAAATAGAAAAAATCCCATTATTTTTGTTATTTTCATTCTTCTTCTTTTAATTATTTTTAATATTATAAAATTTAAATCACTTCATCAAATCAGCTTCTAAATCAATTTTGAAATTTTAACAAACATCTTGGATTGTCAAGAACATGGAAAGAGAAGAAAATATCAACAAATATGATGACACCATTACATGAAGGATGAAATTGAATTAAAATAAGGTTTAGTGACTAAAATAAAAATAAAAAAAATAAAAAAGCATTGTTCAATGAATAACAGTGCCATCAACAATGAATTATTTCCGAGTGCACAAAACAGAATAGTTAAACACCGTGCTCTTTTAGTGTATTGCTATAATAAAAACAAGTCTCGCAAAAAGTTTCACTTTGCTAGTCTATGGCTGGTAGCTCCAAGTCTTGAACTTAGAAAATTAGTAGGCAAACCTCCTTGTCTATCTATTGGGGGTTAGCGTGGTGTGTGTATTAATCATAGTATAACTAATTATGAGTTTATTCTAATTATGAGTTTGTTCAAGTAATTGCCTCAAAATCGAATTTCTTAATTAGCTTCGACATGAAATTTAGATAAAGGATGGTATCTAATCACTATAAAGTATTATGCGGTGTCCTTGATAAATAAAAATTTTATACCAACTAAATTTAAAAATATAATTGTTGTTGTTTTTTAAAGTATTTTTCATGTTAAAATATATTAAAATTATTTTTTTATTTTTTTAAAATTATTTTTAAAATTAGCACATCAAAACTATTTAAGATGATATAAGAAGTTATATTTAAAAAAAAAAAGATAGGGAAGAAAACAAGTCTTAGAATGATTTAATTATAAGAAATTGAAGTCATTGTTGATTATAAAGTACATACAATTTGGCTATTTATTTTTTATTTAGACAGAATATTGTGTACTTAAATGAGTGTGTATTTTGCGCTTTCTTCTTGTTATATTATTGAGTACTTCTAGATTATCTTTCTCTTTTTGTCATGAACAGCAGTCAAGTTAGTGGGAATTAAAAGAGATATGCAATGCCTATTTTGACAAAAATAAAATAAAAAAAATATTAATCACACACGCGTATTTAGTGATTGGCTAGCTACATGAATGACGCCCAGAAGGAAAAAATTCGAAGGCTTGAACCAGTAGTAATCAATGAAGTCAAGCCACGTTTGCTGTAGTTTTTTTAGAAAATAAATTCTAGAGAAGGAAGTAATTTTTTTTATGTTTAGTTGTACAATGAAAAATAAATTAAAAAATATTTTTTAATGTTTAGTTATATTATTAAAAATAAATTGAAAAATAATTTATTAATATTTTATTTTTTTCAAGTTTATTAAAATA